TCATTACGCCACTACGATTCTGAATGGAACTCGAATGCGAAGCGCATCCTCAGCGGGATTGATCAACGATCAAAGACTTCTTCCTTGTATTCTTTCTCCCACCCAAGGTGTAAAAACTTTTGGCAGGTTACCGAACATAGGTTCGAACTGGCTTTTCTTTCGGAACGCAGTGCATCGCTAACATAAAAACTGATGGATTGGAATTTTTCAAACCGGTTCGGCATTGGCATTCTGCCAACACATCTCCATGACGAGAAGTCAACTTTTCCTTCTCTTGACCGCATTCCTTTCCGGTAGGAAAAAAGAAAAAAAAAATCTCAAAAACGCATCTTTTCGCTATCTCATTTGTAAAGATACTCAACCAAACTGCTGCTAGAGATCTGTTAAACTCTACAGGGGTAAGTCTTGCTTATCAGCTATTTTATGTCGGAGATGGGCTAAGGAAATACATAACTAAATGTTGTAATGGAAAAAAACGAAAATAATTTTGAATATGTAATAATTTTTAAATAATTTCTAGTAAATTGATTTTTTCCTTTTCTTGAAAGGAGTAGTTTTGCAAACCTCTTTCTGATAGTGGTCCAATACTCGGCGGACGTCCTTCGTTGATGAATGGTAATACATAAAGACATGGTTGGCACCATGTGCTCGCCATGTCTCCAAAAAGAAAATCAACTTTGTCCAATCGGTAAACCTGAAACAGGCGTATTGTTTTGTTTGTTGTAAATATAAACATCATAATAAGTAGATGAAGGGAGGTTAGTAGCAATAAACTCCCCAGTATATCGGAGGTACACAAACGCTCAACTTTCCTTTCGTTCTGGATGGTATACGATGTAGTGGAAGACGTAAATCGCTACCGTTCCTTGATAGAATAATCTGAATAGATGGTTTTAGAACATCGGCTGGGTTTTGATATTGGGTTGCGGAACTTCTCCACAAATTCCCGTACGGCAAGCGGCAGCGGTTCCACGGCGATTACCGTATCCTTCTCTTGAGATGCGCGATCGGGTGCGGCGAGCGCGCGCGATTTCCGGGAAGAACATACCACACCCTTGACGGTTAGTGCACAGGTAGGAAATCAAGCTTGTTTATGAATCCGTATAAAAATAAAAGGAAAGCTCAAAGATGAAATAGGAAACATGGTAATGCGTCACTGGGTAGAGGTCTGAGTTTGCTCCCTTACACCTCACGTTGTTTGCCTAGTACGTGTAAACACCATTTCAAACTCGATCGATTCACACCAGCATTTTGGTATCACTCCAGCAGAAATCACTATGTGTCCCACTGGATGGGCTACAGCCGAATTCCTATGGGACATCTCAAAGGTGCGCCTGTTTTGTCGCCTTCTTCAAGCACCCGTGCTAGTCAGAAGTCATGTGAAGGACGTGTGTGGGATGTCACATGCACCCACCGAACAGCGACTTTTTACAGTACTTCATAAGGCAATCACAACTTACGCTTTCTGCAGTAGTGTCGGTCTTCAATTGAGCATCGAATACGTAGGAATTATACAGGCATCCAGGAGCCCATCCCCATGGACAGCTTGATTCAATAGTGCGAGGGCTGAAAGTCACTTGTTCCCCGTTGACAAATCCATGCAATTTCCATTCCGGATCGACGCATTGATTTATTGATAGCACCCGAATAGACGTACTGGAACAAAGCCATATAGGTACTGTATGCGAAGAGGAAAGCTGATGGTATTACCTGTTTAACAAATATGCTCTATACAAGAATAAAGTTTCAGATGAGAATTCCACATCATGCTTCTTGCCATGTAGATATTCAATGCTAAATCGTAAAACCAGAATATAATAGCTACATTTCAATAAAACGGTACTCTACATATTACGGTATTACGGTATTAGGCCTCTACGTCGTTATGATTGCGTTCATACTCCGCGCCTCCCATTTAGGCTGCTAAACGGCGGATAGCGGGCTGCAAGGAATGATGCGGCGGGGTCTGTGCTACATCCTACAGGTGGAGAGCTCATGTACAACACATGCTTCGAACCATAAAAATGCCCTAATCCTAAGAGAATTAGATGGATTATCGACCACTCATTTAAGTCGGTTCGATAGTTTGAGAGAAAATATGAAAAGCGAAAAGGAGGGAAGCAAAGTCTCGCCAATATGAGCAACTGAGCCGTCAATGTAGTGGATGTCATCGACCAATATGCGAAAAAAAACTGGAGCAAAGTAAGCTTTTTAACGCTTGATATAGGTGTCGAATGCCACATGAGTGATCAACTAGTGGGATATCGATTGACGTCAGGGACGGCGCCCGCCTCTCATTAGCTCGATTAGGAGGCGCGAAGTATGTA